TTCTTTAGCCCGGGGTTCTGGTATTTAAGCGTTGCAGCCCCATTTTTCCCAACTGCAGTTCCGGGGATCGGAGTGTAGCCTGCCCTACCAAGTCCAATACCAGTGACCTCTGGACCAACCAAAAATGGCTGATTATTTTAAATCTTTATAGGCGTAACAATCGTTAGGCTAAATGACCGGGTGAGGATCACTTAACTTAGAAGGTTATTATTCAATTAAATCATTTATTTATTAAAAACGGGATCATTCACTTATATTCATCGATTCCCTACATAGTTTGTGTTTAAGATGGTGCTGACTGCTAATACAAACTACTTAAGAGCTACTTTGAAAACTACAACCTAATGTTTCGGCATAATAGGTACCCAAATCGATATGACATAATGAGGGGGTTTTAGGTGTCATAATGGTCTCAATTTTATAGAAACTTTCTAAAGTTTCTCTAAACAATCTAAAGTGTGAAAACCAATATACTTTTAGAGTGTGTGTGTGACATGTATCCAAGAAAAATTTTGTTGCAGGTTAAAATTTTAAAATTTTGGGGAAATTCAATAACAACTGAAAAACAGGCATACAGACTCGACATTACATGCAATGACTCGACCAAATACTGCAAATAAATCCTAAAACATTGCAATAAACTAGAAAATAATACATAAAAATAAGAAGAAATAAATGGGAATTTGTAAAGTTCCTCCCCCATAGTTACTCTAAACATTGTCCTCAATGTTACAGTAAAAAGTGGGAAAAGGAATAAGAACCTGATCAATGCTTTCCTCGATAGTTGCCTACGTGTAACTGATAGGTGCCAAGCGATCAATATCTTTATTTTCTACAAACTCAAACAAAATAAAAAACATTAAATTGAAACTCGTGGATTTCCTCCCACACAACGCTTCTTTTAACGTTGGTAGCTCGACGACTCAAGAGTGTCAGCACTCATGGTGATTCTCTCGAGAAAGACTCCTTGATCAAATTTTTAATCGTCTTTGGTTTCCATGGCCACTTATAAAGCCATCTCACATATCCCTAACCATTTCTTTTCTTTGTTCTGTAGGCTGGTTCAATCTTTTGAACTTGTGGTGGTTGTTCAAGATTAATCCTGAGTATCAGCTTTTCAAGTTTGGTTTTAGTTATTTCATCCACCACCTCAAAGGTTAATCTTCTCCTCTTAAAACTGTTGATTTCCCTAGTTTCATGGCCCTCAAGTTTTCTCTTTTTATGCAGGACCTCAGGCAAAGGTGCATTGGTATGCATATTTTTCAATACCTCTACACACGTTTTGGATTTGGAGTCTACCTTAGTATCCACAAACCTTTGTGGGAAATTAATCGGTGGGGTATAGGGAAGAGGAACAACAATAGATGTTTCCTTCTCTACCTCTTTGACAACCTCTCTTTTGAATGGTGTCGGTCTATTTTTCTCAATATCCACTCTTTTCTCATCAGAACTCTTCTCAACCTCATTATTACTTTATTCAACCTCATTATCACTCTCCTTAAGATTTTCTATTTGTTTTTCACTATTGGTTGTTACAACATCCACATGCTCCTCGGGGAAGGTTCCTAGAGGTTTTTGTTCAAGCAAGGATATTTGAGTCTCCAATGCCATGTTGTGAGTCACAAAGGACTCAACCACATTATTTAGCTTCCTCAGGGATTCATTGTTATGAAGACTTTGTTTTCTTAACTCTTCATTTTGGACAGTTTGGGTCTCTACAAAGTGCTCTATCATAGATTCTAGCCTAGAGTGAGTTAACATCGCGTTGAAATCCTCCATTTATTTTTCGAGGTTTAAATTATGGGGTTTCTACAGTTCCTCAAAGTGTGTTTGTGTCCCATTTTGTGTATCCACAAAGCGCTCTGTCATCATGGTTTATAGCCTAAAGCGATTTAGTGTTACAGTGAGATCCTCCATTAATGTGTGGATAATGCAATTTTGGGATTCTTGGGATTCCTCAAAATATTGGACGTGGTGATTGTAGAGGAAATTTTGTTCAAGATAAGTTGGCGTCGCATTGTAATCCTCCAGTAATATTTCGAGATCGTACTTATGGGATTCTTACGACTCCTCAAAATGTTGGGATTGGTAGTTGTAGACGTAATTTGAGTGAGAGTGAGTTAGTGATGCATTGAAATCCTCCATCAGTATTTTCAGGTCAGATTTATGGGATTATTGTGATTCCTCAAAATACTGAGAGTGGGAGTTTAAGAAAATTTTTGGGGGATACATATTAATTAATGTAAGAGTGTCTTAGTCTATATGGTGCAAAAACAGAAATAACAATATTGATTGTTAGTCATCGGCAACAACACCAAAAACTTGATATGTTCACAAGTGCACAGAACTATCGTAATAATATAAAAGATTGTCGAACCCATAGAGGCCAATGTCAACCTTTTGTACTCTATTGTCGCTTTGTAAAGCTAAGGCTAATGAAGGATTGGATTAGGGGAGACAAAGAACTAAATTTTAAATAATACAAAAATTAAGATAAATACTAGAAAAGAGAGACACTAGAATATATATTTTGCGTACCTTAGGGACTCTGTAACTCGTTGGCTTATAATAATGTTAAAAACTTATTTAGTAGAAAATATTAGCTTAAATACTAAATCTCATACTCTCGTGGTTTTGAATAAAATCACATTCTTTGACCATGGGATTTTGCTCTCGCTCTCCCATTTTAATCGAGGAATGTGTTCGGAAAACTGAACAAGTTCTAATTAATTCAAAAGCACTCTCTATGTGTTTAGGATTAATTCCTAGTTTCTACTATCCGATTCGACCCCCATTCTCTCGCAGTGCCAGATCAAACCTTAGTTAATTTCCCACTCTCGTGGAAAAATCATGTTAAATAACCTATCACTCTCGTGGAAAAATAATGTTAACTAACCTATCACTCTCATGACAAAGGTATTTAAATTATATTTAAAAACAAAGACCAAAACAGAAATTTCAAATTAATTAATTAAGCCAACTTTGTTACCGAGTCCCGTCGGAGACGACTGTCCTCACATACCGGACTCAAGACTATTAGTCGGACATAGTTTTAAACATAGGCATGCTATTATGATTACTAAACTTTGAACTAAACATGATTCTAAAATAGTTAAAATATAGTTGAAACAATTCCAGAAAATGATACTAATATGAATATGGAAAATTAATAAGCAGTAAAATAAATAATTAAATTGAACCTACAAGTAAAATGAAAATTGAAATAACTCTGAAAATATCTTCCGTACAATAACTGGAAACTAGAAGATTATGCCGGCACGATTGAAGAATCTGATACAAAGTTGAAAATAAAATAAAAAACTCCTAATTCTAAGTTGTCGCAGTCCCTCGATGTTAGAAACTGTGACTTTTACATGGTCAATTTTTCTGCCTAAATTTAAAAAAAAAACAATAATCTCCTTGAAAAACCCGATCGACCCCTGTGTATGATGAACTCCCCTTTTTATAGTCTCCTTCGATTCTCGTAACTTCTGTCGAGAAGAATCAGACACTAGTCGTAACGTGGGGAATTTATCGGGAGACGTTGCTTGCGTGAGTAGTAACATAGAGAAGAACCACAAAACAGGACAAGAAAAATATTTAAAATATGTGGCTGAAGAAAACATATTCGTGGCGGGGGGGAACACTACCCTTAGCATGCATGGGGAGTTCCATGGAGCATGTTGTAGAAATAAAAAATGTAGCGGGGTAAATCGGAGATCGAGCTATTAATTAACTCGACTCACAAAAGCAAGAGTCGCCACCGCGCTTTATTATTTCCAAGGGAAAAGGGAAAAGAGCGAAATAAAACCCTTAAATATGCAATGTAAATTAATACTTAAAAGTAATAAAAATATAATGCGTTTTTTGAAAGAGATCTAGAGTTAGGGGGTTGGTTATACAATGGGAAGGTATTAGCACCCAATGCATATGTTGTACTTCACAGGAACCGTTTGAAATATCTACTTTTGGTTAAAAATTGTTTGTTTGGTTAAAATGGTTTGTTTGGCTAAAATTGGGTGTGAATGAGATTTTAAAGATACGGCGACCTAGTGTCAAAGTTTTGACTTTAAAAGGTGTGAATTTTAAAATTGAGTCTTTTAGGGAAATTTCAACTTAAGATTAACCAAACTAAAAAATGTATGAAGGATTTCACACAATCGGATAAGATGTATTTTAATGACGTAAAGTTAAAACATTTCCCTTGGAATTCAAATGGACGAAAGATACAAAGATTAAATGATCAAGAATAAAGTTAATGACAATTGAATAATTAAATAAATAAAGAAAATTAAATTATACTAGCATGCATTTTTGAATAAATTAAGTAAATAGCAAAAATTAAATAAAGACTAAATTATAAAACATGTATTTTGAATAATTAAATAAAATAACAAAAATTAAGTAAAAAGACTAAATTATAATAGCATGGAATAATTATATAAAATAAATTAATCTAATATTTTTTAAATAAGGCTAAAGTGCTAAAAACAAAATAAAATATCTTGGAAAGGTGTTGAACTCGTGTCTTCTAGATTGCAGCATGCAGGCCTTGCCAAGTTAACTAAGTTTTCTATCTATTATATCTATGTTTCTATTAAAATAAAAAGGTGAATATGATAATGGGATTGGGAAAAAGGCCAAAGGGGCTGACCCGGTTGCGAAAGGATAAGGAAATATTTTTGAAACCCTAGTAACAAAGAAAAACAGTGTCACTGCAATTGTTTTCTTGGGAAGAGAAACAAACAAAACATTAATATTATGCAAAACTCCATTCCCTATGTCCATCGTGAAACAAAATTTGAAAATCTCTCTCTAAATAAATTTCATCTTCCTCTTTCCCTTTCCTCTCTAACTCAAATCTCTGAGCTTCTCTCTCCAACCAAACACTCATTCAACAACAGCTCTTCCACCGAAAATGGCAAGTCATTCAACTCCACAATCTTCCTCATAATTGTGGGTTGTGTTTGACGTAAAGAGAAGAGGAAGTGTGAATAAAGTTATTGAGATAAGAATAGCGGAATAAAAGCCAGTTTGAGAAGCACGTTTGGAGTGTGACTCCAAGAGTTTGGAGTAGAAGAGAACAAGGTCACATTCTCGGTTGTTGAGATTTGATGATGAAGGATGAGCATGAGAAAGATGAAGGCAGATGTGGGTCGGAGATTGAGCAAAAGAGACGGAGTATGTTGGAGAAGATGTTGTGATTGAGGGACAAGAAGTCGACATATTTGGGTGTGTTGAGGTGTTCGTAGAGTTCGTCTACAGTGTAGTTCCATTCTAGATTCTTCTAATAAATTTTTGCGGGTTTCATTGATGATCATGCCAAAGAGAGAGAGATGTGTGAATGAAAAAGAGGGGTCTCGTGGTAGGGAGATGCGGTTTGGTGGGAGACGGAGAAATGGGCGAAACGGGAAGTGTTGTGAAGTGAGAAGGAGGTTGGTAGTTCGAAAAAGATATGGAAGGTGAGGAGGGAGTGATGGTTGTGGAGGTACTTCAGGAAGTGGTGATTTGAGGTTTGGAATAGGTAAGTTAACGTGTTTTTTACTAATTTGTCACCGTAATTTATGTCAGTGTCATTGTTTCGGTAGAATGTTAGAATGTTAAGTTGTTGTTATTATTGTGGGTTAAGTTTGCTTAGGATTGGTTCTCGAAACCATTTTTTATATCCATGTGATCGGCTTCACCTTCAGTAACCTTCTTACCTTGTTTATAAGTTTCATGACAGGTCCCGATTAAGTGTAATAACAATCATACCATGTTTCCTCAACAGTAGTGTGAATCGGTCAACCTCTCCATGTGCCATTTGGATTTCGTGCAGAGTCGGTATTGCTAGCTTCATATCTTTACAATCCAACTCCACAACATAATCAATAAATGAACAAAAATCCACAATTTGTTTCCCCCGGTTATCATCGCCTCTAGGATTATAAGATTTGTCGCATATCCTCTTTCTCGCGAGCGGTTTAAAAGATCATCAAAAATTGTCAGCAGATAACCATTGGTAATCATGGCGATGTGGTGCTTTGCATTTGTTGTCCAACTACTCAGTACTTGAATGTTAATGCGGGATGAACAAAGAAGTGAGAAGCAGATAGGAGAGCAACGAGGGTAGCACTAGTAGACACAGATTCACTCAATGATAATGTGAGTTTTAGAGAAGGTTGTATAAATATATAATTTCTCTAATTTCTATTGTTTCTATTATTTCAATTCTGGTTTTTCTTGTGTTTATTATTATTATTATACATTCTTAAATGTCCACATATTGCAGCAACTCAAAAATACAACAAAGGAATAAGATAAATCAAACATCGTATGGCAAAAAAAATGGTGCAAAGAAGATTCAAATTGATGGATATATGAGAAAGTTATGCAGAAGTAAATAGGGAAGAAGAAATACTTATAGGAGTCTCTTCGATGGAGCTTCAAAAATAGTAAGTTCTCCCTCCCTCTCTTGTTGATGCTCAAACTTCTGTAAGTCTAGTTCTTGCTGTGATGCTTAAAAAAATCTCATTTTTCTATTTCTTCTCTTGCTGAGTTTTTCTTGTTGTGTTCCTCTCCTTCAGTTTTTCCGTGTCTTCTTTTTTTGTCCATGAAGAGGGCTTTTATAGAGAAATAATAAGGCATTTAGGGGGGGGGGGGGGGAGATAATAGGATATTTGAACTGTTTTTGATGCCTTCTTCATGTAGTTTTTCTTTAGCCATTTTTATGCAATTTTTAGGTTGTCATGATGCAGGGCAGCAGGCTGTATAGACTGGTTTACAACAGATTTTTTAGAAGTTTTTTCAGCAGGTTTTGGACTGATACAAGCTGCTGTTTTTTTGGGGATTGATTTGTAGCATTTTTGGGCATTTTGGGACTGTTTTGCAGGCTTCTGTTTTTGACAGCAAAGTACCATAAAAATTTGATTTTTCTTTGTTGAAACAAGGCTTGAAAACATGGGCAGCATTGCAGGCTGATATTGGGCTGGAATTTTAGGACATTAGAAATAATAGTTTGATTTTATGTACAAACTTGCAATTCCTTGTAACTTTGTAGTGATAAATCCAAATAAAGTTGTAACATGAATCGAACTTGTCTTGAATGTAATTCTCTCAATTCTTTTGTAATTGTAAACATTTGAATCTTTATAAACTTTGAACCTTGATATTTATCTTGATGAAATTCAAAATCTTCCATTTGAATTTGGAAAAGAATTGATTGATATTTGAGTGAATTGTTGAATGATGAATAAATAATGATGCAAGCCTTAAGACCTCAATCTTGCATCTTGTATTAGACATTCAAATGAATTACATGAGTTGACCTTGTAGCCATCATGTATTTATTCTTGTGATGAATGATTATTCGAATCAAGTATATTTTTCCAACATCTTCTTTAATACATGCTTCATGTGAATTCAAATGGCCATGGTGTGAATCCATCAAAATAGTCACACAAAAATAATCTTGAGTAAACATTAATGTGATGAACGATTATTTTTGAATGAGCCCATTTGATAACCTCTATTTAATTAACACTTGAATTCACATGATCAAAATTCAAAGTATTCTGAATAAATTCTTCCAAAACAATCTTGAATTTAATCACCACACTCTAACGAAATTCACCCCGCATCATGTAAGTATAAGAAATCGTACCATGCTTAAAAGCTTCGAATGATCAGTAGAAGAGGGATTTGAGGCGAAATGTTATTGCATTGAGAAATTGGCACAATGAACTGAACTTAGAGATCCAGAAACTCTTAAATCATGACAGACGTCCCATAAAGTCCTCTCATGGATTTTTAATTACAATTGTCTTCAATTCTTAAATAAAACTTGTAGATGACTTTTGGTCGAAGCGTTTGGAATTGACTTGCATAGCTTGATCTTTTCTTGTATTTCAAGGCAAGGTGAAACACACGTAAACCAGTGATCATGGAACCTTGACTGTTTCTTATGAAGAACTTTGAAGACGCTTGAGGCCATTTGTTGAACAGAGCATGGAAATAAACACATAACTCTCTTGATGAACCAGTCTTCAAGAATCAATGATCAACTATAATTCTGACTTGAGAGACTCCAAACCCTAATTGACGCGTGACGTCTGATGCTCTTGATTTAGACCTGTTTCTGCATGTGAAATCAAAGAAACAAAAAAATACACATCGTGCTTGATTAGAAGTTAGTTTTTCATAAGATAAAATGTTCACAACACTCGATAATCTCTACACAGGAAATACTCGAAGGTGAGAAGTTCGAAACCGGCCATATTTCGTGACCTTGATGTATATGACAAAAAATGCAAATGAAGATGGGATCTTAGGTCAAAAATTGGGGTATTACAGCTGCCCCTATTTAAGTTTCTTCTATTCGGATATATGAAGATTGAAATCTTTGTCTCGACGATATTGAAGGGACTTAAATACATAATACATAATTTTTGGCCCTAAGATACCGCCATTGTGTTTATGATATGAATGTAATATTTGAATTTTATGGAGAATGACGCCGCATGAGAAAAACTATTGCTAGAGAAACCAAGCATATAAAATAATCCACAGGGATACATATTATGACTCTACTGGAGAAACAAAGCCACATACTTCAAATGAAAGACTCTTATCGGGGAATAACTTCGAGAGAAAGCAATTTTCTAACTCTAACAAAGAGCACGCCTTGCATAGGCTACGAAAAGATAGATGGCTACTGACCCAAGAAGATTATGAGTTTATAGATAGTGAACTACCGATTTTTATTGAAGGTAGATATTTCATAACAAACTTCTCTGCGGGACTTTTCTGGAGAGATACCATTTGCTGTTGAAATATCATATTGTTATGGATACACAAGATGCTCAAATAAAGAGGCTACCACTTGTTGTCTTCAGAGGAATTAATAAACACACAAGCTGCTCAAATAAAGAGGCCGCCACTCGCTATCTTCAAAGGATATTAATAAACACACAAGCTGCTCAAATAAAGAGGCCGCCACTTGTTTTCTTCCAAAGATATCTATAACACACAAGCTGCTTATGAAGAGATCGTCGTTTGTTCTCATGCAAAGATGTCAATAACACACAACCTACTCATGAAGAGACCGCCACTTGTTGTTTTCCAAAGTTATCTATAACATACAAGTTGCTCATGAAGAGACCTCCACTTGTTGTTTTCCAAAGATATCTATAACACACAAGCTGCTCATGAAGAGACTACCGCTTGTTGTCACGCAAAGATGTCAATAACACACAAGCTGCTCATGAAGAGACTGACAATTGTTGTTTTCCAAAGATATCTATAACACACAAGCTACTCATGAAGAGACCGTCACTTGCTGTTTTCCAAAGATATCTATAACACACAAGTTGCTCATGAAGAATTCGTTGCTTGCTGTCATGCAAAGAGGTCAATAACACACAAGATGCTCATGAAGAGACTGCCACTTATTGTTTTCCAAAGATATCTATAACACACAAGATGTTCATGAAGAGACCGCCACTTGTTGTCTTCCAAGGATGTCTATAACACACAAGTTTCTCATGAAGAGACAACCGCTTGTTGTCCTCCAAAGATATCTATAACATACAAGTTGCTCATGAAGAGACTTCCACTTGCTGTCTTCCAAAGATATCTATAAATATAAGTTGCTCAAGAAGAGATTACCGCTTGCTGTCATGCAAAGATGTCAATAACATACAAGCTTCTCATAAAGAGACAGCCACTTGTTGTTTTCCAAAGATATCTATAACACACAAGCTTCTCATCAAGAGACCGTCGCTTGCTATCACGCAAAGATGTCAATAACACACAAGCTGCTCATGAAGAGACCGCCACTTGTTATTTTACAAAGATATCTATAACACACAAGCTTCTCATAAAGAGACTGCCACTTACTGTTTTCCAAAGATATCTATAACATACAAGCTGCTCATGAAGAGATTGTCTCTTGTTGTCTTCCTAAGATATCTATAACACACAAACTGCTCATGAAGAGACCGCTGATTGCTGTCTTCCAAAGATGTCAATAACACACAAGCTTATCATGAAGAGACCTCCACTTCTTGTTTTCCAAAGATATCTATAACATAAAAGCTACTCATCAAGAGACCGCCACTTGCTATCACGTCGATATTCTAGAAGAATGTTGCGATAACATTACTAGGGAATAAAATTCTTCTTCAATGGGGAACCATGAGTAAGTACTTCCTGAGGAAACCAAGTATTTAAATGCGCAAAATAAATTTTCTCTTCATCTAGGTTTCACGGCCTTGAGAAAACCACGGGGTATCCTATGCAAGAGACAAAGCTCAATCCAGGAATAAACTAGAGAGGAAACAATCAAACAAGACTTCACCCAATGAGGAAACAACTCAATTGGTGATTTATCCTATCCTGAGATGGAAAAGGAAGGCTAAAGAAATATTCTTCCACAAGGATTAGCTCAGTTGGGGAATTAGAAAGGAGGCACACTTTCTGCTTAAGTTGACACTCTATTTGGAAAGAGAAAACACATTGTTTGAATAGACATAACCAAGGTATACGAACCCAATAACATCGAAAAATGCGAAGGTGCGTGCATGATGCAAATGTGAATGAATAAATGAATGTCATGTATATGTTGACAAAACAGATAGAGGAAATAAACTGAAGATGATAAGACAACACAAAACAACCAGACACTTTGTTATATCCCAAAATTTGCCCTCGCATTTTTCCACAAGAGATCGCAGCTTCAGGCGTTTCCTGATTTTTCAGATTGGCTCAAGAATCGGTCAAACAGACTTTTTCTCGTCATTCAGACGCAATTAGGGTTTTACTGATTTTCAGGGCTCTAGAATGCTTCAAACAGTTGGCTTAGGGGTTTTGGTTGATTTTGGCTCAACTTTGATCAGGCGAATGCTCTTTGGCATTTAATCAGGAATTAGGGTTTTTTGTAGGCACGTTCTCAGAAGGATTTAAATTCCACAGCACTTTGCAAGTTATTCCGAGATTCGGGTTGAATTCGCATTGTTTTGATTTAATCAGTAAAAAAAAGGCAGTTGGTTTGAATTCACGTTCGTTTGATTGAACCAGTCAAAAGATATACGCGGTTTGGATTTACAGTGTTCGTTGAAAATCAGTGGAGAGGGAATGCGCCTGATTAGTTTGTTTTGGTTAACTGTTACTTTGATTTGGATATTGGAAAGGCCAGGTTTAACTGATCATTTATTAAAGCATTGTTTATTTAAATTATTTATTATTCTAAATTAAGTGATTGAAATTTATTTTTTCGATTATTTTAATTCAAAGAGTTTTAAATAATAGATAAACAATAAAGAAGGAGGAAATAGAATTGATTGGATAATAAAGACCTTTATTTATTCTTGAATTATTTGTACAATTATTGTTTATAATTTAATTACAAACAATGGTTTTACATTAATTTAAATTTAAATAAAAAAGAAAATTATCCTATTTTTTCTAATTCTTCAGTCTTCATTTAGTACTCCCCTCCATTCAATTATTCATCTGCAAGAGAAAAGGAGAAAAGTAAAAAAAAGCAGATAAATAAATAATGACAGATAAATAAAAGACAGTTCATCATTAAAAGCAATCGGCCGGGATCAGTTGACCCTCTCTGCAAATCACGGGATTTCTCCCGGTTAACAAAGAGGGGTGAAAAATATTTGCAAATTTAAGATGAATGCACAAATATAAAAATTGCACAATTCAAAAAGGTGGTCAAACTGCATAGCTTCAAACAGTGGTGCAAATCAAACTATGAAGGCAAACAGATTGGTCTAACTAAAGACACAAATACTGTCAAGAAGCGTACAACATAGAAAGGAGAAGACAAATTATGCAGAATTCAACATGTATTGCAAGCAGGATATCACTGCATCATTTCCCTAGGCCAATTTGCTTTTTTAGAATTTATGCATAATAAGCAATTTAATATGCTTAAATATTGGAAAGAGAGAGAAGAAAA